GAGATGCCAAGCAAGAAATATTTGTTTGGATATTTAATACTATGATGGACTAAAGCAGACAAGGGATTGAACCTCAAATTATAAACTGCCACACCTAGGAGGCTGCCAATGTAGCTAGAAAGCACAACACTGAGAATTAAAAAAAGGTGAGATCTTACTGAGAGATTATAAATTATGAAAATTGCCCCAAGAGTTAGTCTACCAGGACACTAGGACCCTGGTTATAAAGAAAAGCTGACAGAAGAATCCCTTCAGGATGTCAAAAGCCCATTTCTATATAAACAGGCTTGCATATGCCACTCTAAAGGCAAATGTAACCTTGCAAGTCACTGACCTTTAATCATGCTTGGTTTTTTTCCCAAGAAAAGCAGTTGTTTACTGAGAAGATTAAAGGTAGAAAGTCTTTTTTTCAGTGTTCACACCGGTTTAAGAGGATAAAGATGCCCTTCTGGACAAACATTATACCTCACTAGTTTTAGCCTCTACTCATCATTCAAAATTCTAATTTCTTCAGTCTCCCTTTTTCAGGTACTATATTTTCAGTTGTCTGTGCTTTGCTGATATCTCCTCATGTACAAAAAGAGAAAAGACAGGAGGAAGGGAGGGGAGGGAGGGAGGAGGGGGAGGGAGAGAACACTGTGCTGGTTTACCAGGTCTCTGCTTTCCAGGTAATCTCTAGACAAATCTGAGAGATTAATTTGTGCACTGAATTTGCCCAGGCTGCTCACAGATATTCACAGATACCCGGATTAAGACCCGTTGGTACTGTACAACAATGAAACAGGACACCTCAGTCTCTGTTCTGGAATGACTTCCTGCAGCATCAGCTGCCCAATGTCCCTCAGGACCGTTCTGAACTAGAGAGAGTAAGAGACATCCAATTGCAAATTCAGATGACTATGTACTGTGCTGACATCTTAATGTGCAAGACAGACATTCCTTTGAATTATCTGCATCTTTGTGTCTGCCTGCTTATATAGAGAGATGAATTACCGATTTTCTGTTCTAATGGGTTTGGCTATACAAATATATCTGAGGCTGGGCTACCGTGACCTACCTGCTTTCACTTATACTAAAAATGCCTTTCTAAATCACAGTTAAATTAACACAAGTCTTCCTTCTTGTCCTACAGCCTCATGAACTAGAAATCAGAGTTCTGAAAGGTGTACAGATTACACTGTCTCACAGATATATTAAGGATGACACCATTTTAACAAGTTCTAATAAAGAATATTTCTCCTTGGGTAACACTTGATCTTGGTTAGAATAGGAGTTTGGAAATGAGGGATGAAGATCAATATTAATAGTCTATAGAAACTGAGAAGGTATTGAGAACTTACTAGTTATTTATCAGTGGTAATCCATCCCTGTGATAAATATTAAAATCAGCTATGATCTCTGTCCTTTACATTCTAACTGCGTTTAGAAAAGATAAAACTATGTTCTTAAGTCATTTCACTCATGTCAGATAGTGAAGGTAACTACATTTCTATTATTCTAGACTCCAATAATAACCTGGACGAATTTCTGTTGTTTGGATTTCAAGGAAGACCTCCAAAAAGCCAGCTAAGAATACAGTGTAATTGTTTAATTTGTACAAGCAGACTTTGTAGCCAGGAGACTTGGAACTGAGTTCTGGGTAGTCTTATCAAATGTGTTTGACCTCACAGAGCATTTGTTTTCCTATCTGTGTAATGGTAACATTAACAAATTCCATCATATTGGGCTGTTGTATTGAGTTGAAATGATGTAATCAAAGTATTTTGAAACCGTGTTAGTCACTATGACATCAAGCCACCGTATAGTTTCAGGAACTTTAGGACTCCTATTAGGGAAGTTCAAAAAGGGCATTTTATTCAGTGGGCCATGCCCTCCATACTGTTCTTGGGAAAGGGCAGATCAAAGGAACCCCAGAATCTAGAGGGCACACCGTCTTGTTTTCTTCCTGGCTATCTTTCACATATCTGTCTTCATCTTTTTTATTTTAGTGACCTTTTATTGACTCTTGTTTGGAATGTTGATGTATTATTTAATACTTTTCCCTTTTATTACAATCTTTATTTGTCTTACACAGTGCCAAAAGGATGCACTAAGGTTTTGCTACTCTTGAGCCAGGATGGTAAATCAAAGCTTTTCATTTCACCAAGTTAAAAAAGCAGGGTTGATCATTTAAAAAGAGATCTCAGGTTTGGGGCTAACTTCTCAGTCTTCCACATGGACAATTCTCATTCCTCTTTCACTACACACATGTAGAAGTTTGTTTCTAGTATGCAAAGATAGGGAAGAAATAAGGTTAGAGTAATAATCCACTCAAACTTGTTTTTGCTGTTTTATCTTCAACAGCTCTGTTCAAAAACAAACCAGTAGTAAAGGAAAAATAAAAGCAAATGCTCTTAGTTTTTTTTTTCCTTGCCTAGACGATCATGTGCCAAGGAAAATAAACATTTATGCTTGAGGTGTGTTTCAATGCACATGGTACAATTAAATTTTAAAATTGCAAACACTCTAAAATAGAAAAAAAAGCACATGTTCACAGAAGCCTCTTCTAGACAATTTCTAATGCTAAGATAAGCCTGAAACAACATAACGTTTGAAAATGTATTAGCTAACTTTGGACACTTCTTACAATATATTCATATTTGAAATTAACAGTTTTTCAAGGCATAAACGTTTACCTTAATGTATATAGAAAACTACATTTTCCTGAAATCAAACCAATGTATACATATCTCCTGGTTTTCTCATATTGGTAGCTGGTTAAACCTTTCACACAACAAAAGCATCTGAATGGCTGTTTTCCTAGACAGTCTTTAGAAATAACTTCCTTCATTTCTACCTTACCTAAAACAAGAGCGCCCTGAATTTTCACCCAGTTGCAAACATTATTCAAAACAAATTTCTCAATAAAAAGTAGATTTAGGGAGTTGTATAGTACTGAATTCTGGCTGCCAGCTTCTACTCATGCACCGCAGCAGAAAGATGTCTCGTCCTCTAAACCAGCAAGAAAGGCCCAGGAAACTTCTGGTGGAATGGACTGTGTTCAAGGTGATGAGAAAACTTATAAACCGAATTGAATGAAATCAGAATTCTGAATTCCAGACTGACATGTTTCTGCTAAGCTCCTCCAAGTTTTGAATAAGTATGTGCAGTAAGAGTGCCCCAAGAAAGATCTGATAAGGCCAACACTTAAGGCTCCTTAACGCAAACACACCCTCTGTGTCAGAACAATGTGTCATCAAAGGTACAAGTTAAGGGAATTTCCAGCACTTCCCTTCATTTGCGTCCATCTCTCCTAACTTCAGGTCCAAGAGAGGTGAGAAGAGGTTTACCTAGCCACGGAAGGGGAGAAATCGAGGCACACGCAGTCCACCCGCACAGAATCCGAGAGGCAAGTCTACCCTTGAGACTTTGCCCTCCCTTCTTCTTGAGATGAGGCAGAGCGCGCCTTCTGTTTACAGACACTCACCTGATCAGCCCCAGCACCCTCGCGACCACTCTCCTTGCAAGGTGAATGGTGGGTTCACCGAACCCAGGTCACCTCGGCCTCAACTCGGCAGAGCAGGGCCCAGAGCCAGGGCGTGTGGCTCCGACCTCAGGCGGCGGGGGGAGCGCGGGTGGGGCGTCCCACAGCAGGTCCCAGGGCGCAAGCGAGGGCAAGTTTGAAAGCGAAGGGGAGTTTGAATGGAAAGGCAACTCGGAAGTGTTTAAGCTTTCTTGAAATGAGCAAATGCACTCGAATCCATCCGGCCGGGGAGCTTTCGAGGGCGTCGACATCCCCCTGTCGCCTAAGACCCACACCAGACCCTGACCGAGAGGGGGCGAAGGTGTCCCGACGTGGAGTCGGCTCGCCCGCGAGCGGGGTCCCCGGCGTCCGGCGCCCGGCACCCGGGAGGCGCCGGCCGAGACGCGGAGGGCCGCAGGCGCTGGGCTCAGAGCCCTGGCGGCGGCGGCGTCCGCGGCTGGTAGCGCCGCGTCGGGGCGGGGAGGGGGAGGGTCGGGACTCCAGAAGGTCCCCAAACTGGGAGCCGGAGCTTGGCATCCGGTCCTGCGGGCGCGGAGCTGCGGCAGCGGGGGCGGCGCGGCCCCTCGGGGTGGGGAGGGGGTGGGAAGGAGACAGGTGAGACCCGGCACTCTCGCCGGCCAGCCGCGCCCCCGCCGTCTCGCCCCGAGAGGGCACTCACCGGCTTTGCACGGGTCCTTGTAGTCCAGCGCCTCCGCCTCGTCCTCTCCGTCGCCACCGAAAGTGTAGTCATAGTCGAGGCCGGCGCAGACCCCCAGCTCCGCGCAGAGGACAGCCCCCGCGGCCACCAGCCACGCGAGCATCCCCGGGGAAAGCGTCTCTAGCCCCATCTTCCTCGCGAAGGAAGCAGGACACCGGCGCCTGTCCCCGCGGGAGGCTCCTCGGCGCGGCCGGCGCTCAGGTGTCCGGGGACATGGGGCGCCGTCGGGCGGAGAGAGGGCAGGGCGGCCTGTCCCCACGCGCGGGCGAGGTGGCGGGCCGCGGGCGGGCGGGCGGGGGCAGGTGGGGAGCGGGTCCGGGCGGGCGCGCGGCCAGGCTGTCTCCAGGCGGCCGTCCTTCCCGCGGCTGCCCCGGGCTCAGGACCCCAGGCTCAGGTCCCCGGGCTCAGGCCCCGCGCGCGCCCCGCACCCGGGACCCGGAGCCGCTGTGGGAGGACGAGCCCCGCATGCACATCAGCGCGTCTGAGCTGAAAGTGGGGACCGCGAACGCGGGTGGGTGGCGGACATTCCTTCACCGCCAGACCTTAAAAGCCGCAGAAGCAGCAAAGCAACTGACTGCGAGAAGAACGAAAGTGGGAGGATTTGGGGATGCACTGTTTGCCTTTCCCCCCCAGGCTGTCTTTTTACCCTCTTCCTAACTTGAAAAAAAAAAAAATTCTTCACAGCATCTAACCCAATCACTTGCATCCTGCTTACTTATTCATACAATCAGGGTCAGGATCCGGGCCACAGCCTCCTCTCCGCCTCCTTTCGGTAGCCCTACACGAGCAGACAGACGCGAGCGCGCCGAGAATTCCATTTCTAATTTACTAAAGATAAAAATGAATATATCACGCACTGCGTCCCGCGAACAGCAGTTAATAGATGATGTACGTGCCAGCCGAGAGCGCCAGACCGGGGGTGGGTGAGGGATGATGACAACTCGGCTCCAACCTCCACTTCCCCCCAGTAACAAGGAGCTTGCGTCTCCCCTTTGTTGCCTCTGCCTCCGTACAGCCCCGAGGGGAAGAAAAGTGCCTGGGCCTCCACCCCTAAGGTAAGGAAACGGACTGCTTTTCAAAGTCCCCCAACCGACAAAGTTTTGCTAAGAATTAAGATACTCAGAACTGCAGTTTAAAAAAAAAATCCAAAATCCAGTTACAGATTGCAGCAGCAGGAAACGCGAAGACCTCGCCAAGGGCTGCACTGTGGCTCACGCCGGCTCAGGAAGGGAAGTTGGAAGGAACACTTGGGAAGCAAATTTTCTGTGACAGCTCTGGCGCCCATGCCCAGAGTTGCTCAGTATCCTTTGGCTTCAGTTGTTTTACTTCAGAGGAGAGTGTGTAAAACCTGGCAGCAGGATTAGCGAGGTAAACCACATGTCAGCCTAGCAGACGCAGGACAAACACAGGCTGTGGGAAATTGGGGAAGGAAAAAAAAAAATCAGAGGAAATCTCTGCAAAACCCCTGTTGTGAGCAATTCAGAGGTTTCCCCACATCTGCAAGTAGTTTCCAAAATAGGTGAGAGGACTTCTCCTCCCCCCAAATTTCCAAAGGAGTGGTGATTGGGAAAAAGCCTTCCCTTTACAACTAAATCTTGAACTGTCACTCTAGCAGGGACTTGTAAAAAAATCTTCTGTTACCTTTGCATCTTAATTTAATATTTAAATGCCCCTCCTTTTCTGAGTTACTATCAACATACAGTCTCATCTAGAGGGAAATAAGGTAACACCACATACACACACACACACACACACACCCTTTGACAGGTAGACCCAGTCTTTGGCTAGGTTTTACATTTGTTAAAGAAAAATCAGAGGCTAATCTTGAAGAAATACCGAATATTTCCAATTTAAACTGAGAGTAAAAGGATGTGAGGCCTGGATAGAACTGACTGATTCCATGTTCCTGGCAAAAACTGGGGCTTCCTCAGAAGCCACTACAGTGATGGAGCCTCCCTTCCATTGATCTCTCAAACTTCTAATCCCAGATCATAAAACAGACAGCAGATCTGAAAAGAACACATTGGATAAGCAGGTAGAAGTATTTGGTTTTGAAATCTCTTGCTGAGTCATTCTCAAATTCTTCTACCCATCAAAAAAAAAAGTTTGCATAATTAATAGTGGTGTTCCTCTAGTGCAGGGCTAAACAAGAATGTATTTTGCTTAGCCTATTTGTAAGCCCAGGAAATGCAACTTTCCTTTAGAGGATCCTCTTGAGCTGCTGACAGTGTCCCCACTCCCTACTGCCAGACCTTTAAAATGTCCCTTGTTAACCGAAATGACTGCAAACATCTCCTTAGACTATTTTATCATATGAGGGTTTGCAAGGGTTGGTACCTGGGGTTTGCCTAAACATCAACTTACTTTGCAGTAATGAGTATGTTTCATACATCTGTCCTGAAACATATGTCACCATATAGAGACATCTGCCTATTCTGTTTTCCTTACAGAATTTATCATTGCTCAGTTTTATAGTTTTATAAATCTGTAATCCAGAGTTAGAAAAATAGACACAGTAGAGCCTCAAACCAAAATATAGAAATGTTTCTTTAGAGCTGAAATACTTGAAGAGAATGCTGAACGGACCTTACTTCTAGCTGGCAGCTGCCTCTCACCACCGTTGCCACTTGCGGCAGAACCCCATCGCCCCCCAGCAATCTTAGGGAGGAAGCCACCCAAGATAGCTGAAGCAAGAGGTGCTTTCTATGCCAATTGGTATATCCTGTTTACTATCACAGTAATTAAAATAAACTTGCCTTGGAGACAGTGTCAGTTAGAAATGTCTGTTTTCTAATCTAGCCAATTTGAGATCAGCTAGTTGTGATCGTTCTTTGCTATGAAACCAAGGAACATACGAATATATTCCCCTTATGTTCCTTGTAAGAAAAAAAAAGATAACTCAGACATATATGCAATAAAAAATGTCTCCCTCTCTCACTTAATCTCGTTCCTGGGAACACCATCAACCTGCTAACCAAATAGTGTGCATATAGACTGGCTCCATGAAACCATCTAATCTGTAGATTAAAAATAGCAAATACTGGCAATTTCATGTGGTGCAACCTATTACTTCAAGGCTTTAAAAAAAAATCCTACTTTGTACTAATGCTGCTGTTCTTCTGAATTAACCTATATGCATCTACGTCAAATATTTTTAGGTAAGTCTCTGGGTCTCAATAGTGTTTGACTCTCACATTTTCTTTTCTTTTATAAGATTTTATAAAAATCTTACATTCTATGATTTTTTAGGTCACATTATTTCATATACCACCTCTGCAGGATGTTCCTAACTCTTGTTAATTAGAATGATACTACATTCAATAAAAATCTGTCCCTCATTGCTGTGTTCTAAGTAGCAAGTAGGGGAAGAATGAAAAAGTGAACAGAAGGCAATATTTGTTTCACAACAAAAGGTTTATGGAAGGTGTTCGCTGAGAAAAAGAAACACACCTCCTTAGGAAATAAAGACAAAGAAAAGAGCCTGCCTTTTGCAGTGGATTCTGGTCTGAGCAGGGGCTATTGATCTACAAGTCTCTGGTCATTTCTTGGTACTTGCTGACTGGCTGCACTGCCCTTGTTACCAAACTGCCCTTCATGTGGGAGAGACACCCTTAATTTTTATGGCTTTTAGCTACTCCAGATCTTTTAACTCTCCCTTTCACCCCATTCTCATGTGACCCTCTACAGCATACATAAGCTTTATTTTACCTGCTTTCTTCTAAGGCTCTCGCTCAGCCCTGAGCGGTTCTTCACAGCACCTCTTAATTTTAATTCATGTCCCAAATGCTACTGATGCTACAGGAGATCATTTTGGGTTAACACAGTGATAAACTTAAAAAAAAATTAAGGAGTTATATATGTTTGTGCATATTAGAAAAAATAATCAACAAAATTTGCAGTTGCATGTGTATTTCTTATAATGATGCTTAGATTAAAAAGCAAGTTAGTAGCTAAATGAAATTAAGTCAATAGTATAGTGGCCCATGAAGGTTAACTGATGTTTGATAAACACTGATCTAATTCAGTTCTTAGGTCCTCGGACCCCACACCGTCTGTGGACAGCCGTTTTGCCCCTTCCACCTCACCTGTGCTGTGCTCTGTTCCTTCTCCTACCTGCTTATCACCCATATGTGTTTCCAGAGCACAACACAGAAAGACTATGCTTGGACACAGAAACTGCATGTATTTGCTGTCAGCACTTTGGTCTGGTCTCTTATTTAAGCATTACTTGCTATGTAAGTCTCAAGAAGAGCCACTGACTTGTTTGTTCAGAAACCACGTACTATTGCCTAACGACGTCTGGAAATGATTGCACTCTGTATTCAGGCATCAGCTTTGCCAAAGGGAAATGGGGGGAATGGAAGGGAGTAAGTAGGGCTCATCGCATTTCCCACCTGCTGGGACTGAGAGGTTCGAGTCCACCAAATGGATGTAATTGTACAAAGTCTATGCCTGTACTGAATCCTCACTGTTGTCCCTGGAGCACATAGCCAAGGAGGCACAGGTCTGTCATATGCAAGTAGTCGCTCAGTCAGCAGACTAACTTTTCTTTTTTAGGGGGGTAGGTAGTTAGGTTGTATTTATTTATTTTAATCAAGGTGCTAAGGATTGAACCCAGGATCTTGTGTTGATTACGCAAGCGCTCTGCCACTGAGCTGTACCTCCCACCTTAGTCTCTCAATCCTTCTGCTTAATAGCTTGGTAACTTTGGACCCACCCTTTTAACCTTATGTGCCTTCAGTTTCCTCATCCACAAAACAGGGATGATCTTACTCCATAATATTTCACAGAGTGTTATAAGGATTAAGTTAGTTAATCTATGTGATGTGGCTACAGTTCCTACTGCAGAGTGCACTTTCGGTATCTGTTTGCTGTTATCATCTTAAATAAGTTGTAAAATGTCAAACTATTTCCAGCCCTTTTAAATACATTGTTTGAAACGCGCCTTCTCCTTCACTTCAATCTAAATGGTGTAACTTCAAGGCAGAGTGATTCATTCAAGGTTATTCTGGAGAGAAGCCCTGGTTAAGAATACAGAACTGGTTAGGCATGCAGGCTTCATCCGCAGAAAACTCAGGAGTTCTAAGTGACTTTGCCACTGAGGAGCTATTTGGCTTTGGGCAAGTTTCTCCACTAGCTCCATTCTCCTAATTTTTTGAAATAAGAATGAAATACCTGATAGGGTTGAACTAAGATATAGTAAGATCATGCACGTAATGTACTTGCTGGTAGGCGTAAGCACATTTCCAAGGGTGGTTATGATTATTAATTGGCATTTGCCTAGTGATCTGTGGGAAAAACCTATACACTATAAGCTTTTCCACCATCACACAAGAAATTCAACCCGCACACAAACCTGGTTACAAATTAAATAAAGCTAGGACGGTTTTGTTTGAAAATTTCACTAATACAAAACCTATCAAATTGAAATAAAGATTTAGGTGACATTGCTGGTGTTTCTTGTAAATTCCCCAGTTTATGGAAGTATATTTACCTCTCTGACAGACATCCAGAATACCATTCATCTGGCCACTTTCTGTCCCCTTAACTTAGCTATTATGGTCTTGGGTTCATATTTTCATATTATAAGCACAAGGTTGGTCTCCCAATTTTTCCTACACAATTTTCCTGTCAAATAAAATTTGTACTTCATTTCATTCTACCTTCCTCATGAAGATTAAAAAACAGATCTTGAAGCCTTTTATAAAACATACTATATATTTTCAAGGCAATGAAAATAATTTTAAAAATAAAATAATGAAGTAGTACCAGCCTCTTGTGAGAAAGAGATGCCTAAACTTCGTAAGGCCCATTATCTGGGTCAGTCACCTGCAAACATTTTTCTGATCCCATGCACTTCTGAAGATAGGGAATGAGTTAGAAAGACTTGAGTCATACATGAACATATTACTGTCACCTCATAACCTCTGACCCTCCGCTGGCTCCTACAGCTGGCTGTTCTTTGGAGGCGTGCAGGTCTGCTAATCCAGTGGACAACTGTTGGGCAGTGGAGACCTGCATGCCTGACAGTGGCCAAGAGCCTCTGGTCCTGGTGGCAGGCTACAGTCTTCCTACCATCTCTGGTGAAGCCTCACTTTGCATTGTTCCTTCCTGGCTCCCCAAATGATATTCTGGACAGAAGTGCCTGCTCTGCCTGCATCCACGTCATTATTCTCATCAAGGCCACATCTTTTCCATGCATGAACCCTACAAATACATATTTTGCCTGTCCATATGTCCTAGTGCAAAATGATTTTTTATCTGACAAAAGTAGAATTGAGTTTATTTCAACCATCTATGTAATATTCTAATAGGCCACCACTGGAAACATTTAACCCTAGAATAAAAGTGAAAATTAATTTTAAAAATCTATACACTTAATACAAAAGCAGAGTTTAGGATTAGAAGATGTCTTTGAATCTTTGCTCTAATTGTTAGATGTCTTTGGATACAGTCTTTCTTAACTTAATTTTTCTTACCTTGAAAATGAAATGCTTATCTCATATGGTTATCTTGTGATGCAGATATATTCAGTACATAAATCACCTAACATGGAACGTAGTATTTGACAGGAGCTCCGTGGCTATTAAGTCCTCACCTCCTCCCACCCACAAATAGCAGATATTCCTGAGAGCACGAAAAATCACATCAGAGACCCTGAAAAGAAACTTGTAATAAGTATTTACAAAATAATTGGGAAATGCAAAATATTCCTTCGAAGGTAAAAGGAAGATCTGGAGGGAGACTGAAAAGGAACAATGCCTGCATTCTTAACAGGACTCAGTGACTTCAGGGTTTATCTCTCCTTTTCCATTTCCTACCTATAAACTACTGAATGTTCACATAGCAGTAGTACCCTATAGCTACTTGACTGCTTCACCTTCTCAGAATAAATTTCTGACAGCCTAGATTTAGCAAAGCCAACATCTTTGAGTAAGACGGGAAGAACTGTCTACCAACCTCTAGGATAAGTTGCTGGGTGATTGGTTGGTGTATATGGAAAATTTGTTTGATAAATAAAGAATGGAAGGCAAAATAATAGAGATGATGTGTAAACCATAGTTTTTGCATAATTATTAGGTTAACATTCATGACATTAAGTAAAATAGCCTTCAAAAACTAAAAAAAAAAAAATAATAAAACTTGACATCAGTTTTTACGGTGCATTGTAAAATCACAAAGTTATTTTATACCTTACTTAACTCTATTCAAATTTGCAGCTGCATTTGAACACTGGTTTTTCTGTATTTCTGAACTCTCCATCATGCTCTGGGTCTGGTGCTGGGGCCAGGCCAGATTTATTTTGCAAGCTGCACTGGGCTCTCAGGTGGCAATAATTAATGACCTTGGCCTTCAGCTTCAGGCATGGTAACTCACTTTGGATCGCTCTTCCAACCACTAAAGCAAAGTAAAATAGTTTTGCGCTGTAAAACCAACCCCCAATCAATACAAAGCGTCTGAGGTGTGTTTATTTATATATTTATTGCTTTTCATCTTCAAAGCACTTTAACAACATTAACTGATGGTCCTTAAAATAGGTGAACATGGTTTGATCATTAACTGATAGGTGCATATCTAAAGAGCCTGGCAACACCAACTTGAAAAACCTAAGATGCGGAAGTGGCTACAACTCAGAGAGAGGACAATTTCCTTCGTGTTTTCTCTCTTCCTCACTTCTGGGGAAAGGTTTTATTCGCATTTACTCTGTGTCTGACAACCAAAACGAAAACGAAAAAAATCTTGTCAACAGAGCAGAGCACAGCTGGGCCAGGGACATGGGCTGTGTGGTGGATTCCGATTTCTTCAGGTCAGTAGTGCACTGGAATATTCACATTGCTTTGCCAGAGTACTCAGGAGAGCTGAGTTATCAAAAGCTAATTACTCAGACTAGGTTGGTTTGTTTGTTTTGCAGTTTTTTAACATTGCTATTTTTTTTAACTGAAGTATAGTCAGTTACAATGTGTCAATTTCTGGTGTCAGACAAGCTATTGAAAGCACCCCTCACCCTCAATTATCTAGCTGTTTTAGATGAAAATGGGTGTGGTGCTTTCATTTTTTTGCTAGTGGAAAAGTGCTGACATTTCTGCATAATTTCCTCCTTTTCCTACTTTAGTTAGCATGTGTTTGATAGAAGGTTATCCCCGGTGTTTTCCAAATTATTATTATTACTCTAAAAACACCATCTGTGATTGAGGTCGCAGTTCATTGCTAGGGCTGTGCTTAGTACGAGTCCTCACTGTTTAGTACTCTGAGATTAGCAGGTTGCTACCTTGTTTTCCCTCTCTCTTACTTTTATTCAGAAAGTAAAAAAGAAGTCTGCTCATTCATACGGTTCCAACATCAAAATAAAAAGTAATTAAATTATATTGTGAGGCTAATTTCTAAGTGCAGCTCTCTTTTAAAACAAAATGCTTTAACAATTTCAAAAAGGGGTAACAACAGCCTTGGAACATTTCTAGATAACCTGTAAAAATGAGTGGGTTCTCCTTTGTTTTCTTGTTTTCTAATAACAATTGCTGTGAGAAGTGGAAACTGTCATGTGTTTGGCTTTAAAATCAGTGCAAAGTTTATGGCTTTCTCTTTTAAAATCATTAGGCCACATGCTGAGAACTTGAGCTGTTTGCTCCTGATTACCAGTGAGACAGGAAAGCAATTAGTAGAGCAATTAACTCAATATGTAGTGGGACCTTCCATTAGCCACTTTCAATCTAAGAGCCCAGTATATAAATGCCTCAGTTCACAGGACACCTTTTCAAAGAATAAATAAAATGATCTTGAAACAAGAGGCTCTTTAGATATGCATTTATCAGTTAATGATCAAACTATACAAAAAACAGTATCAGAGCAGACTAGTTACTAAATGGTGTTATTCTTACCCCCAAAACTCACTTGCTCCTAGCTAGACTTATATTTGCTCTTTTGACCTCAGTGATCTGTTATTTTTTAATAAATTACTTCTCAAAATAATAAACATTAAAGTGAATAATGTGATGATAAATTCCAATTTAGCTCAATAGGACTTATTACAAAATTAGGTTTTTCCCCACAAGTCCAGTATTGTAGGCTAAAGTGATGACTATTTTTTTTTTGGGGGGGGATCTGAAAGATTTCCTGTGGGTTTTGAATTTCTAATCTTTAAATTTCTAAGTTTTGGGGATGAAATCTGTTTTTCTCCATTTGTCATAATACATTTTCTCATAAGATTAATCCTTTAACCATATCACTCATTTCAGGGTAAGTTTTTTTGAATGATTTTTACATTTAAAAGTTCGCCTGAGGATTTATAATTGGTACCTTTGTACCACAATGGTGATACACTCTTGCATCTATTTAAAGCATTATTTTGTTTTATTAACGGTCAGGTTAACATGATGGGCAAATAATGAAGCACGAACTCCACATCAGAGTTTGAATACTGAAGATATCGCATGTGATGAAAATTGAAGTCTGAGGTTAGCAGAGGCATGTCTGCCCGTGGAACCTACTCAGGTGTGCTGTTACCTCCTCCTGCAACATGACGAACGTTCTCAAAGAACTATTGATTTTGTAAGAGTTGAACTTTTACCATTGATTGTGATACTAATTAAATATGTCTAACACTTCACTGAAGAGAGAAAATATAATAATCTAAGTCATCAGACAGTCTTAACTATATTGAATCATTTGCTCTGAAGAATGCGATACCAACCCTTCGGATCCTGTTTTTCTGCCAGGTCTGCCAAGGCCACGTAGCACTGAAGCTCTTAGTTTCAAAGACAGAAACACTGCAGGAGTCAGGCACTAATTGGCCTTAATGTGCTTCAGAGTGTAGTGTTCTAATTGGCATGCTATCCGAGGCATTACCCAGACTGTACAAAGAGGATGCTTTATGCAGACTACCTTTGGCATCTGTGTCCCTGTTGCCTGGTCAGTTATTTGACATCCAGTGACCTCTAGTGAGAACCAGAAGTTGTTAGCCAACATAAATTTCCTTGCCCAGTTTGAGTCCCTATAGGAACTCCAGAAAAAGACAGAAAAGAACTTCAGCAAGGCTCACAGAATGCTTTTTATTTTTTCAGATCACAGCATTAATTCAAGTTTGAGAGGGTGAAAATATTAATATATTTATACCTCTTTAGAAATCTTCAAATTTTCTAGAAATTTCACTATGTCATTAGAGTACCTTCAATCACTACACTAGAGAAAATTTAAATGCATACAAATAAAAGGAAAGGCATGAAAAATTCAATGATAATACAAGCTGAGTATCAAAGGAAAAAAGAAAGTAATGTGCCTCTTCCATATGTCACAGGTAAAAGTGGACAGTTATTTGGCATTTGTTTTTAGCAAATAGTTTTGCAGATTATATGGTCAAATTTTAGAATGATACAACTATACTATGGTTTAATTAATCCTAGAAGGCATATTATTATTCCCTGAAATTGAAATATTGAATAATTAATAATTAATGCTAATTAATTAACAATTCAATGCTAAATATATAAGCATAAATAAATACATAAAGTATGAATATCATGGCCTTAATTCTCAAAGCACATAGCATAGCACCTAGCATTCTGAACAATTTAGTTATAACAACTATAACTTTTATAACAATGATTTGAGTTCATTGTATACTTATTAACAGAATAACCTAGGCACAGAAAGATGAATGACACATAGTCACCACTCTCCCTGGTTGTGTAATGTAGTAGGG